CAAACAAGTACAGGCAGAAATTAGTGATATGACCCTTGAAATTAAAAAAAAAAAAACTAGCTTTTTCCTGAGGATATTCCCTTTTTTGATTCAGTGGAGAAGATATATGGGTCAAGCAAAAAGCCTCAGTCTTATATAAGGCTGAGGAAATAGAAATAAGAATTCAGAGCTGCTGACACTGAGATGCAAATCCAGGAAGGAAGGACCTACAAGGCTCCCAAATTTTAAAGACCTAAATTAGAACAAAAAGAATCCTCCAACCCTGTCTAAATTGTGATCTGCAGAGGGAAAAACAAAAACAAATACAGCAGGAGAATAAGAGCTACAAGATTTCAGCAACATGCTGATGCAGAGTTTGCAGTTAAATTCTCACTATAATATAGGCGTTTAGAAAACACATTGGACTATTATTAGAAAGTCCATACCTTAGTAATAAGATCCACAAAATAGACTAACATCTATGCTTTAGAACTACAGAAAGACACACAAACAGATTTTTCCTAATGTGTCTTCCACAGGACTCAGGTGATTTTTAAGTAATTTTTCTATCTGCTGAAATTAAATGGAACATTCTTCACTAACCAGAGCCTCTAAAATATATTTAACACGATATCCAGCCTACAATAAAATAATTTTTTAATGAAAAGGGAAAACAAATATAAGTACATCCTCAGATGATTAAGATGTTAGAATTAGGAAACAAAAATTTAAAAATGAGTATTACAAATACATTCATTTATAGCATTTTATATATGCATAAATACATACACATTTACATATATAAACCCATGCATGTTTATATAACTCACATACATATAGGTTTATACAAATATTTGTATCTATATATCTACTTATACACATAGTAAAAGAAGTGAAATTTCAGGAAGGATATTGAAACTTGAAAAAACAAAATAAATATCTTAAAATTAAAAATGAAGTCTCTTTGAAGCCTAGGGAGTAGCTTAATGGGAAAGTGCATGTTGAGCATGCATGAGGCTTTCCCCATCACCAAAACTTTTTAAAACAAAAAAGAGTATTTAATAAGATAATTCATAATTGGATTTCACAAATGCATGGACACAAAAATATCAGTGAACAACTGAGGAATAAGAGGGAGATTAAAAAATAAGCAAAGGCTCAATAACATACAGAATGATGTCAAGAGGCCTTTGTACATTTAACTGAAGTCCCAGAAAGAGACATGAGAATGAGGTAGAAAATTATAAGACATAATGGCTTAAAAGTCCTCTATCAGACAAAATGAAAAATCRTAATTATAAAATCATTTCTCTTTTATCTTCTACCTCTTAACAGCATCATTTTGGATTTATCATAATGATACAATGGTTTCTTTCCATCAATTTTTTTTCTAAAAACTAGTGGACATAAAAATATAATAAAAATGATGCTCTCTACCTTAACAATCAAAGTTGTGATAACATTATATTCTGAGTAAAGAATTCACATTTGAGAAGGCAGATGAATTTGGCTGATAGACAAAGAATGAAGAATGAAATTAAAAGATGGAATATATGTTCATTGTGATGAAAATGGTTAATAACTTTAAATAATAAATTTGTAAATAACTACTGTCATGTTAAAAAACTTTTTCCTCAAGACACTACAATTTTATCTGAATAAGAGTAAATAATATATAACAAGAAAAATTTAAACATCAAAATAATATTCCAAAACAATCTGTGTGAGAAGGAAATGAAGTTTCAGACTAATGAATAAAAAGAAAAGTTATGTTAATATTTGAGATATTTGACCATCTTGAAAAGCAGCTCCACATATTTATTAGTGCAAGTTAATTATCTGAACTCTGAGTCTTGAGTAGAAATTTTCAAAAATGCTTAATCAATCACTGTTTGAAATATGCACTGCTCCAACAATTTTTTAGCAATGACTAATTTCTTTCAGACTCTGTAGGAATGACTCTGTGACCATTTCTATAGATACTTGAATACATGAAATAATATTCTTATTTTGTTATATGCAAGAATACTGATATAACATGAAGCTAGCTAGAGTGTACCAATCTTTTAATATGGAAGATCATTCAATGTTTATAAAAGTTTCCTGGAGTCTTATCGCAAATTCTAAAAATATTTAAATTATCAATAAGATACATAAAAGGATTACTTTTAGAATGATTTTTATTATTTCCTTATATATTAATAAGAATTATAAATTACTAATATTCATGTAAATAATATACTGCTTTAAATCACTTGAATCTATAAATTTAAAATAGAAATTATGAGTGAAAAGAAAGTAATTTCAACATTACCATTTCTTCATTTTAAATTCCAATAAATATTTATGTACATTAAATGAACTCATAATGATATTCATAGTATTGTAGGTTGGATTACAAAACACACTATAATGTAAATGTAGGGAATACATGAATGATTGTAACACCCTCTTTTTTTTGGATTGTAACTTTTCATACATGTTGAATCAAGTATGTTCATGATCATGATCTTTGCCAACATGTAACATACTCATAGATAAATGCAATATTACTCTCTCCATGGGGGAAAAACCCTAAAGGAGGTTCATGTCACCAAAGAAGTTTTAAAATTAAGATATTTAAACTTCAGAAAGGGCAAAGGGGAGAGAGGGAAAAGAACAGGGCAAGGGGGTAGGAATGATGGTGGAATGAGTTAGACATTATTACCCAAAAAAGCTAATCCCAAAAAAACAAATTACCAAATGTTTTCTTTGATATGTTGATGCTAATTCATAATGAGAATGGAGGGTGGAGCATGAGAGTAATGGAGAAACTTTAGATAGGGAAAAGGGGAGGGAGGGTTATGGGAGTAAAAAAGATGGTGGAGTGAGATGAACATCATTACCCTAACTACATGTAAAAGACACAAATGGTGTGAAAATATTTTGTGTACAACCAGTGTCTTGAAAAATCATGCTGTATATGTGCAATATGAAATGAATTGCATTCTGCCATCATGTATAATAAATTAGAATAAATTAAAAAGATATTTATCCATATCCTTACTTGTACCTGCCACTTATGATCAACATATATTTAGCCAAAGATAAAGTTTTTTTACATTTTTTCAATTCTTAAATGTTATTTCCTATTCCTTATTCCTTTTATGTGTATGTACATGTTTTTAAATCTCCTTAGGCCTATACATTGCTTATAAACTGTCAGATGTTAGTTGTAGTAAATGACAATATAATACAATGCATGGAGCCATTATGTTGCCCAGGAGCAAATATAGTACTATTGATCAATAAATAATAAAAAAGTCATTTTAGTAATGGGAAAATATTAAAAGCTGCAAGAATAATTAAATTAATTGCAGGAAAATCCATGACACATACAGTAACCTAGAAAATATCTCATTGTTTCTTACATCCACTATTCCCCAATGACTAGGGAGAAAAAAAAGTAATACTCTCTTTTAAGAGTTTCAGGTATTTACAGTCCTCAAACCTACTCATTATTGCTATCATAAGTGGAGTAGGTGAAAAAAAAAAAAGGGCAGTCCTATAAGAAAGGATAGTGATGGCTAGCATGAGTAGCCTAGAAACTAAAACTATAAGAACTAGTACATAATAGCTTATACTTGTTATGTTCAACCCATTATCCTAAAAGGTGATTTAGAAAGGATGAACTGAAAAGAAGATTGTGGCCAGAAAAAATAAAATTAGTTTCACAAAATCTGTTACATTTTTATAATTATTCCAACCAATGGTGTTATAAGGGAACCTACAAATATGGGTCAATGGTATTTACTGTATGGGGAGGCTGAAAGTGAGTAGGGTAGCGCTATTATTCAATTAATACTATTCAAGTGTATGAGATTACATTTAGTAAAAATAAAACTCCAATCAACAGATTATTTTTAAAGAAGCAAAATATTTCTTTAGGTGTTGCTGTGACTAACTAAATATTCCATAAGACCAATCTTCTGCTCTTAATTCTATACTTATCATTATACACATAATTAGCCCCCCCCATTCACCAGGAAGGTTTAATCCATTATACACAATAGTTAATTGTTATGGTGCCAGGTACCTTGCCATAATTAATAAATGACACAGCATTTGTGCTAATAAATGGACATTTCTGAATTTTAGTTAATGTCAATTGGTCTTTCAGTATTGGACAAAAAATGTTGCTAAATCAGATTCCGTGAAAAGTAAACTACTCCATGATTACTATCCAAATCAGCAATTATCTACCTTATCTTTCAATAATAGATTCATTAGAATCTATTATTGTGAGTGCAAAGAGCCAACAATGTCACTTTTCAATATAGAAAAATTTTATGAGGTTATGTTAAACTTCTCTGGACTGATGCAATTATATTAGTCAGACTATATATAATCCAAGGTAAAATCTAAACACTAATAATCATAACAAGAACAATGACAATAATATCAATTTATGTTCTTGAAATTAATTCATTCTTCTAACCACCTGGTAAGGTAGGTATTATTATTTCCATTTATAAATGAGGAAGCTGAGGCATAGAGAGATCATCTGCCTCAAGTTATTCAACTCAAAAGTTTAAGAATCAAAATTTAAACTCAGCCTGAAATTAAAGTTCATAATTTCAAACAGTATGCTATACTTGCTACCGATAATAGGCATAAAATACTTGAGACAATGAAAGTGAAAATCACTAATTTGAGTATCTACAGCTACACAAACAAACTCTACTTTATTAGCTATATCATTCCTATATTTAAGATTCTAAGAATAAGGATTTAAACATAACTATGCTTATTTAGTCCACAGCATCCAAAATAGAACGATTAAGCCCTTAAATATTGTGATGAGTAAAAGCTATAGGTATAACCTTATGTTAGTGTCTCAAATAATTGAAAAGCTTTAATAGTAGCTATGAAAACACTAACAGATACTTCTTAATACCCATAACTAGAACTTTAAATTCAGTCAGAAATATGCTCAAGATTAGAAAAAGTCAATGAAAGTACACATTTTGCTGAAAACTTACTTTGCAACCTCCGAGTTGGGCTCTCTCCATGGAGTTGTCTTCGTGGCATATAGGGAGAAGGGTGGGGAAGTGGCAATGAAGAGACATCATGGGTCTGAAGTTTGTACCAATGTGGTTCATCATCTAATAATGCTGTTTCTAATTCAATTAAAATCTAAAAATCCAAGAGACAAAGGACTATTATAATATGCCAATAGTAAGGAAATTCTCCTAAGTGGTCTTTTAACTTTTATAATAATTATAATAGTAATACTGTTAAATCAAAACCAAAATCATTTATATGGCATTTTCCAGTAAATAGATGGAAATGGAGAATATCATGCTAAGTGGAATAATCCAGGCTGAGAACATAAAGGGTCAAATGTTCTCTCATATGTGAAACTAAAACAAAACAAAGAAGCAGGGATCAGATATCATAAAGATAGAGGGAAGATCAGTGGATATCAAGAAAGAGAGAAGAGGAACAAGAAAGGAAAAGTAACGCAGAATAAATTTGACAAAATTAAGTTATGTGCACAAAAAATATGCCACAGGGAATTTCACCTATAATAGTGTGAATAGCACCAATCAAGGTTGGAAAAAATGGAGGATCAGTAGAGTGAAGGTAGGAAGGACAGGGTGACAGGAACAGTGACTACAATGGAGTGGGTCATACCATGCATGTATGATTTTGTCATGATGAACTCAGCTACTATGTATAATTATAATGAAAGTAAGTAAGTAAATAACAAGGTAATATAGATGTTTCAAAATTATCAATATATTTTGATAATAACTAAGATAATTCTTTCTAACTTCTTAGTGATTTAATAGTTTTAAATATCTAAAATATTTATTTCATAGACCCTTCACTACCCAAATGCTAGAGGCTATTAAAATTGCCACTACATAAATAATACATTTTACTTTTAAAATGTCTGCAATAATAATGTATGCACACATTATTTTCTAATTTAAAAAGCTTTCTTTTTATCGTCACTAGTATAATCTCACTAGAATTCATAAATGAGGAGAGAAAAATAAATTTCAAGCACCTGTGTATTAAGAACCATGCTTTATTTTATATATCTTAATTGTCAGAAAAAAATCTACAATTTGATCTTACAGACCAGAATACCAAGACCTAAGAAAGATTAAAAGAACTTGTCTAAGATCACACCAGCCCATAAGAGAAAAAGGCAAAATGCATTCATTTGTCTTACTCAAAACTCTGTGTACACTGTACCATCAAGCTAAGGATTAAAGTAACACTAAACATCACACTATACCTCATAAAAAAAGTACAATTATCACCTGTCAATTGAGAAAAAAACAGAAAAGGAAAAAAAGCAAGGAGCTTTTAATGTAAACCATATTATATGAATGTTTTTTTTAAATTGCAAAAGAAATCAGAATGTAGATATAAATTACTCTTTTACAGTGTTACATAATTTTGAGTGTTTGCACTTGTGTTAGTGAGACCTGCAACATAAAAATAAATTGCTGTACTATTTAGCTACAAGAATAAAGAGCAAAATGAGCAAGTTATTATTTCATGCTGTCCAAATTTTCCCTAATTATTTTTAGAATTGCATGCAGTATGTTCCAAATGTTTACACGCAGAGACACAAACAACATATTTATTTAATCCTCATATAAACCTTAGATTKCCCAGTTTGCAGTATTATTTCCACTTGGATAAAGAGAAAAAAATTGAAGCACAGCTAGGTTAAATAACTTGCTCAAGGATGCAAGGCCAGGAAGTGGCAGTGCCAAGTATGTAGACCTAGGCAGCTCGCTTCAGAATTTCTGCTCAGAACTGTATTACCCTTCTTCCCAAATTGGTTTACTTTGGTTTCTTAGCTAACAACATTCATTTCTATATTTCTGTTCACTATTGTTTTTCCCATGAGATTACCAATTAATTTACTCAGAAAAAACAAACACTGGAAAAGGCTGGAAAGTAGATAACTTAGCATGCTAATAGCTGGAGAACTGCTTCTTATGATGCTCCTCTCTAATATATTTATCACCTTACAATTAAACATATTTTTTCAAGTACAAAGACAATTGAGCCAGGCTTTTTTTGAAAGTTATCATTGGTTCCCATTATCCCAGGATAAATCAAAATTTAATATATTATATTAAATGACATGATCTGGTTTTAGTTTAACACACAAGTCTCATTTCTAACCATGTTTCCTTCCAATCTCAATGTGGTTGCCCCAAATTCCCTCAGCCTTGATGTCTTGTTATTCCCTTGCAGGAATTTCACTTCTCTTGATTTTGCCACATTCCAGTTCTCATGGAACCTTCCTTTGACACTTCTGAAGTGTCACACTACTGAATTATGTATTCCTTTTGTAGTTTCCCTCTTACAGCAGTTGGCGAGCTATATTATAATTGTCATTCACTTGTCTGAATCCCCAGTGCACTGTAAATTGCCTAATATGAAGTAACATGCCTTATTCATCTTTGAAATCTCAGACCTTAACACAGTGTCTTCTACATTAAAAAGTAATCCATGAATGAATGATTGAACTACTTACTAGTGGTATAGTTGGTTCAATAATAAGATATACATGATAATATAAAGCAAAGCACTTTGTGAAATAGAAACATTCTATCATTCAACTGAGATCTCTGTAGTAAGAATAAGCAGTAAAAACTATCACATAATATTTATTTATTTATGTACATATTTATTTTTGAAATGGGGACTCAGTATGTTGCTCTGATTAGCCTTGAACTCCTATGCACAAGTTGATCCTCCTGCCTTAGCTTCCCTAGTAGCTGGGAGTATAGTTGTGCACCATCACCAGCATGCTAAGCTTTAATAAAAAATAATTTAGAGCCATTGTTTTCTATGCTATCATTTTATTTTAAAGTAGTAAGTAGCACAATTTATTCTATTAAATTAAAAAATTATGCTTACTTATTCATGTTTGAAATATAAAAATTTACTCATAGTCATTAAAGAAAGCATTTAGAATAACATAAATAATGTGAACTTTAAATAATTTCAGGTACCTCTCCTAAAAATTCACTTTCTTCCTCTCTAACTCGAGCTTGATCCCAAAGGGTAATTTCCAGCATTCGTTCTCGAAATTCTCTTCGATGAACTGGAGAATAAATGAATGTTTGGTTCCATTTGGGTTCCAATGTTTTCTTAACCGTTTTTGTTCTTCTCTTGTTTTTATCACTATGAAAGAAAAGAATATATAAACTTATATAAAACCCTGTTCACCCTAAGATTTATTAATTTAAAATTTCTCAGGGGAGAAGTGAAATTCTATCACAAATTTGTCATACTGCAAATATTATTATCTTTAAAACATTTTTAAAATTTATAAGATGTATTATTATGCCATACTTAAAAGTATGACAATAATATCGGGAATTCAATTTTTTCCAAAGCCCAACAATTGAAAATATAATCTCTCAAAGTGTAAATAAGATAAATAAATAAAAATAATGTAAATAATGGATAATCTTAACTCTAAATTTTTTTAACTTATTGCTCTATTGGAAACCTTCAAAATGGTAATTGACCAGTAAAATTATACATAGTATTCATTTAAACTACTGACATATAATTGTATAAAAATAAGAGTAAATTGCAATGTACATATCATATCCAGATAGTTCAGTTAATAAGCAATTTATATGCATTTTATAAAGTTACTTCCTTATATACAAGAAATACCATTTGCTTGTTCAACATACCATGTCTTCTAAAATATTGAAAATTGTTTCTATGTAAACTAGCTACAATATATAGGCTGGATACAAGAGGATCATCTGGACAGATGGGACTTACAACTCAAAACAGTTTCATACTTATTTTGATGTCATATTTTTATCATGTTTTAAACAGCACATCACTATTTGCATGTATATTTAAAAATATACACATGCTGTACCATATTATATCATGGTACTGTGTGTGTGTGTATATATATATATCCCCCCTATGGTATATCTCCATCCTCTTTGGAGATCACTATTCTATTTATTAAGGAGGATCAAAACTGTATAGAAATAGAGAAAATCATCTAGGAAGTAAACTTTAAACTAGGGGAGCTTATTTAAAATGAGAAGTAGACAAAAAAATGAACTCTAATTAGAATAATATTAACGCTTCAAATTCTCTCAGCACAGCACTGTTCTAAGAATGCTGCTGTTATGGTTTAGATCTTAAATGTCCCCCAAAAGCACAATGTTAAAAGCTTGGTACCTTGTTGATGGCCTATCGGTGGTGGAAATTGTGGGAGGCAGGGCTTAGGTGGAAGACTTGAGCTCATTAAGGGAATGACCTTGAATGGGATTTGGGGATTCTGGCTGCTGGTCCCCCACCCTGCTCCTTCCTAGCCACCATGAGGTAAGCAGCTCTGCTCAAAGACGCACTCCCTGTCATGATGTTCTCTCTTACCACAGGCCCAAAGTGACAGGACCAAGTGACCATATACTGAAACCATAACCAAAACATATCTTTCCTCCTTTTAAGTTGTTTAGCTCAGACATTTTGTCACAGCACAGAAAGCTGAGTAATGCAGCTAGGAAATAAATAGGACAAAGAACAAAGAAAGGCTAAACATCTCTGAAAAAACAGAAGTTACACAACTTCTTTTAGGAATATTAAGTTTTAATATAGATTTGACTTGCATAATAAAATTATGTATTTCCAGAGCATTATATGTAACATGAGAGAAAGCTGCCTTTAGGTACACTGATAATGAATTTGTTAACACACACAAACACACACACACACACACACACACACACACACAGAAAAGATAATATACAATTTTGAAAGCACTGTATGAAACTAAATTTGCAAACCCACCTAGATTTTATTGCTATACATGAAAAAGAAGTCATATTATATATACATATATATATGTATATATAGGATGTAAGAATAACTAAATAAAAGGAATGCATGTTAAGCATCACTAATACAAAAATATAATATATGAAATGCTCCAAAATCCATTCTGTTTTGAATTTTGACATGATGCCACAAATGGACAATTCCACACCAAAATTATTGTAAATATTGTACAGAATGACCTTCAGGCTATGTGTACAAAGCTTATAGGAAATTTAAATGAAATTTTGTATTTAGACTTTGGTCATATTCCCAAGATGACTCTTATATATATGCAAATATTCAAAAAAATTTGAAAAATTCTGATATCTGAAACACTCCTGATCCCAAGCATTTTTGGATAAGGGATACTCAACTTGTAATAACAAAGACAATGATTAATGCTCTTTCTCCCCGCTTCCTTCGTTTAAATTGTTAACAAATGTTCATCTGGCATCCACATAAATTCCATCCATGAAAGAACGAATTTTGAGACCTTGTCAAAAGACATAGTTCCTACCAAGAAGACCAGGAAGGAAATATTTAATACGAGCTGACTATCTAATTTAAATGGTTTACACTAAAATCTGAAAGGAGGGGAGAATAAGCCAAGAACTTTCTTTTAAAGAACTGAAAAGAGCTCTCAAAGAATGACCATTTTATAAGGGATTTCTTTAATGGGTAGAAAGGGAAAAAGATAATTTCTAAATTTCCCTACAAATCTAACCTCTATTATTACAATTCAATAGAGCTATTTAGTATATGCCCAAGCACCAATTCATAAAAAGAACCATGAAAAAAATAACTTTATTTTCAGCAAGTTAAAAACAATGAGTTTTACTTTCTTTTAGATTTATAATCAAAGCCTCCAGAATCATATCATGATATAAAGTCAAGCACTGAAAAAGTGCTAAAACTACTTAAAAACCAAAATCAGTTAGGATCTATGAAGATGTTCAAGACAGCAGTTACAGATTTTTAAAGATGCTAAGCCTATAGTTAAAATTTTGTAAAAATAAAAAGAGCCTAAAGCCTTTTTTATTTATCTTTATGCAATCAGCACTTTTGCTTTCCATTTGACTTAATAATAGCATGTTTTTTATGTGGTGTTTGAAAGAAAGAAATATACATTGTTAACCAAATTTACTTCAAGATATTAGAAAGAGTGCATAGTATTCCCAGTTATTTTTTATAGCACTAGTAAGTTATGCACTGTAGTAATTTTCTAATAGCTCAACTGAGATTCTAGAGTAGATTTCTTTGTGTAGCTTCATTTGCTCCTCCACAAAACCTTACCAACAACAACAACAAAAAAAAGCATGAATTGTTTTCTATGTTCATCTGTTCAAGCATTTCTCTCTAAAATATTGCCAGGAAAAGTGAAATTTATAACCAAAGCACAAATATTCCTTTATTTATGTTTAGTGTTTATAAATTGTGTCAACAGCGGAAAAAAAAGTTGACAGGATAAGTTAACTGTCAACAATAATGTTTCTAAGTTAAGCAGAGAATTCTTTAGAAATAAAACCCTAATACAATGCATTCAACAAAGACAGCTACAAAATTTACCTAACAATTATCAAAGACCTGATAAACTAACAAAGAATTCAGATGAGATATAATCTCAGAAAAAAAATTTCAAGTGTCTCTCAAATTCCTTGATATCAGAACTGGGGCTGGGGCTCAGCAGTAGCACTTGCCTGACATGTGTGAGGCACTGGGTTCAATTCTCAGCACTGCATATAAATAAAAAACAAATAAATAAAGGTCTATCAACAACAACAAATTTTTTTTTAATTCCTTGAAATTAAAAAAAAGAGAAAACAATGCTATATTTAGAATATAAGGGACTGGATAAGGAGGAATACCTCACCATTTTAACTTCTATCTGCTCAGAAAGAAGGAAGAGAGGTTGTATAATAAGTGAAAAATAAAAATTTTTAAAAAAGGCAAATCAAAAAAGAAATTCAATAATTTGATAGAAGTTTGCCATCTTTAAAAAAAATGTTTCTCTTTAAAGATTTGAATTAGTAGAAACGAAAGTCATGTATGTGTATAAAAACATGATAATGTAGCACTTCCTGTACATTTTTATCATGGCATATCAACAATGCTTAGGGTAACAAATCCTACTACTGTAAGAAGTCATGTGACTTCACTACCAGGATGATAGGCTAATCTGGCTGTGACATCTGGCATTCACCTGAAGTCTAGACTTATATGAAGCTATGAAGTCTAGGCTCTAATTACGAATGTCCTTTTGTCTCTTACAGTTCAACATATATCTCTCTCCAAAAGATAATCTAATTGGTTAGAGAACAATTTTCTTCAAGTAAACTTTATAAAGTAAAATTATATGGCAAATAGTTTCTAATAACCAGATGTTGTGGCACCTTGATATGTTATGAGGAATTTGTTTTACAATTCTCACTTCAAAATATATATCAAATAAACCATAAGGATTTTATTAATCATTTACTTTCTTTTGTCCTTTTCTTTGCTGAGATTGTTGTTCAGATGATACTTTGACATACAAATGAACCCTAATGAACTTTCTATTTGAACTAAAAAGAAAATTAGAATCTGAAAAGGTATGAACATGTTTAGGATCACATCTGTGTGCAGCCACTTCTGACCTGAGAAAAATGACCTGCTCTTGAGAGCACTCTGCCTTGGAAACCAGGGGAGGCAATAGCTGAGGAAAGGGTAATTAGTATCATTACATTCTCCTTGTTTTAATGATCCCAACTGCACAGACCCGTTCATTTTTACATGCCTAAAATCAAAAAGATTAGATTATTTTGATATTCCTCTAATTCTAAACCTCTATTTAAATGGAGGCAGACAATATCATTTATGTTGACTAAAATCAAAACAAATAATACTTGAAGAAACTGAAACTGAGTCTAGTGGGTTTCCTTGTTAATATGGGGTAATGAAATGCACTTGTTAATTTTGTGGAATAGAGTGAAACAATATCATGTAATAGGAGGTATAAATTGTAGACAAATATGAATATTTTTAGGATCATTTCCAACTTTTGTCTCTAGAGTTTGGATAAAAATTTGACTTTGRGGGTTATAAATTTTCATGAATTTGATAAATAAATACATGTTATTCAAAAACAATTCACACATGCTTAAAATAAATATTTAATAATATATAATGCATATTTAATACACATTTAAGAATAATCTCAAATACTTGATTGGCATTATTCTGATTACTAAGAATGATTATGTTTATGTTAGATTTCAAAAGTATCTGACTGGTATAATACAAAAACACAAATAATATAGAATTAAAACACTCATTTGTTATTAATATTTTCCCACTTATTTCCGAGAATATCTATTTTATTTCATATCCCTACCTTCTGTCTGGAAGAAAGTAAATTTTAACATAAGGATTCCTTGGTCGCCCATCTTCCCGAGAGGGGAGATCCTTTGCTCCCAGAATTGTAACTATTAATTGGTGACCAACCTTGTCAAACCATAGTTTTATCTGAAAAGCAAAAATATTCATTTATCAGCTCAAACATGTACTGCCAATACATGTTTACATTTCTAATATCTTCACACCATTGTCTTACACTAACATTAACACAAAATATAAATTTCATTTAAGTAAAATATAAAATAAAAGAATATATTATAATAACATCAATGAATAAAAGAATTTGTTCATATATTTTGTTTTAATTGATAAATCACTCAGACTGCTTATAATCCTAATTCTTTATTAATATTCACATAATAATTATACTATCATAATTAAAGAGCAATATGATCAATGCTCTGTTTTCTAAGCAAGAATCATTATAGTTCATTTTGTTTTCCCTATAATGAGTTTAGAATAAATCCTCAAAACGAATTGAGAAGATAGTAAGTTATTTATGTGATATTCATGGGGTATTTTCAAGTAAATGTTTCATGTTATTCCACAGCAAGACATTTCAAAGATTGAGCAAAGAGGATTTAATAGTAGCTTTGGTCAATTGATTCCTCCAGTTCACATTTAAAGCTTTAATAATTTTTTATTTTTTTTTTACTTTTTCATACATAAAGGTCCTTTGTCTTTAGTGAAGCAAATGCATCACATCCTTAGAATAATAAGATTTCACTTTATAACATGTGATAAGAAAATGTGAATAATATCACTGTGCCATAATTAGGGATTGGAACTTCACATCCAGTGTTGAATTCATTTCACGTAACAGGTATCATCTTCACACACATAATTCACACCTTCACACCTAAATAGCTGATTCTATTATATCAAGATCTATGATAACTATGGCTCTGATCCACATCTTGGTTCAGAACTCAGTACATCTCTGACCAATATCTTGAAACTGAAAAGGAACCAAAAATTTGAAACTTGAGAATTACAGGTAAAAATAAATTCTGATCATATCTGGAACACTGGTAGTTCAGTTCCAATTCCACCATGGCTTTCCTGAGTGCCTCACTTCATATTCTAGATAACAAGAGACTAAGCAACTTTTAGCAGAGATATACTAACAGCCCAAAAGAGTAGAGAAAATAATATCTAACCCTTTTATTTTTCTAAAAAGAATTAGTCCTCTTATAGGAATAAGAGTAAGAAATATCCAAATTTTAAAAATTAATTACTAGTTTTTATATTCATTCTATTGTCTTTATGATTAATACAGGTATTATCTTCCTATTGTACAGCAATTTTTTTTTAAGAGTTTCTAAGTTCAAAACTCAGACCTTAAAAAATGTTTATCAAAGTCTGGCTAACAAACTCCTACAGTAGTATTATCTGACTTATTTATTTAAAAGTTATAAATTTCTGTGCCCACCTTCAGCTATTCTATCAGAATGGGGCCTTKGAATTTACATTTTAATTAGTCCTCCTAGTGAACCTTAAGATAACTAAAATTTGAGAACCACTGCCTTATGCAAAGGAATCAACAACCTGAAGGAAAAAGTCTCCAGTGAAGGAGAAAAAGTTCAAACATCTGCATGTCTAACAATATAAAAATACAGATACATAAGTATGGGTGGAGTGAAGAGTTAAATATTCTTTTGGCAAATGCCATGAGAAGAAAACAAATAAAAAATAAATGCAGAAATGCTTCACTGTATATGAAATGAAAGAGATGTAGATAGTGTCACAGTTCCTCTAAAATGTGTGACTAAGATCACATTAATAATTATTATGTTCTTTATTTTTCACTAGTAATAAAAGAGTTTATGGCTTTATTCTTTCAAGATATTAAAAATCCTTCTCAAAGGATCATAACATGAATATTGACACCTCAAAGAAAAAAGGATTTTGAAATGTTAAAATAAACAATTTTCCAATAAACTTTAAAATTTAAAAACATAGACAATATTTATCATTATGAGACTGAGCTCAAAATTATGTGAACAAATTATTGATTATTGTGAAAAATTTTCAAAGGCTTAAGACTAAGCACTTGTTACCATCTTCAGAGGCAATAATTTTGCTCAAAAATCATTAAACAGTTGAGATACATTTCATAAATCTCATAAAGAGTATTCTTTTCATATTTCCTCATGCCATGGAAAAAACAAAAAAAATCACTAATATCATTCAATTCTCATACAAACCAATATTAGGATATGGCATTCATATTTTCATAATGGTCTTTTATAGTTATTTAAATTGTACTTTCCAAGTATATTCTATTAAAATAATTTAGGTAGGAAACAAGTAAATTTTAATTCTACTCATTATTTAATCAAAATTGCACCTTTTTATATGCTGTCTTACACTGGATATTTGATAGCCCTAATTTTCATTTATATTGTAGGACTTAAACTAAAAATTTAAGTTTTTAATAGACATCCAGTTCAAATATTTCACTAGTTAGCTAATTGTATCATATTCTTAAATTTCTGATTTGTACTCTTAAAAAATGATTAAAATATAGCTCTTGATTTCCCCAAATATAACAAATATATTTTCACAATTCTAGTACTGAAAATTTTCATGCTCAATTAATTTCTTTAATAAAATCTTGGTATCCTTCTAATTGTTCAATTTGATTATCATCCCAGCTTTACCATGTAACAGTTTTTAATTTTTCTAAGTAGAAGCTAAACAGTACATAAGTATTTTATACTGCCATATTAACTAAAATAATTTTGATCTCTAAAATTTAAACAAAGTAACTATTATTGAAAATCAGCAAATTCTTAAAAACATGCAGCAAAGCAAGGAAGGCATAATACTACTTTTAAAAAATACTATATTGACATTATTTTACCATATAAAGGTTTCCTAGAGAAAACAGGCAAACAACTTGTACCCAAATATTACAATAAATTAAATGGAATGATATAATATAAACAAAATAAGCCAAACACATTTCAGTTGGATTTGGATTTTGTTCTTTCAAAGTAATGTTCTTTCCAAAAGTTGAACCTTGTATACAGTATGCATATAATTCACATTTTAAATAAGGTACAAATGTATTTGCCAATCTCCCCAAGGAGTCATTGCTTGGAAAATGCAAGAGAATGTAGATGTTAAGTAATATAATGAATGATTTAAAGAGACAGCAATCTTAGTGTAACAAAGAAAAATATCAACAGTATAAAACTGTTATTTCTATAATGTTACATATTTAACTGAAATATACAATAAATCTATATTAAATGCCACTTTGAAACCTAAAAGTTTTATTTTATCATATAAAATCACTAACAGAGATTGTCTCTTTAAATTTTTATTCAGTATTCTAATCCCCATGCAGAAGTTTTACAAGCTGGCTCATCAAATGATTTGAAAGTCAATAATATGACTTGGAGCAACATACCAAAACAAGTTTTCCTACTACGCATTTTCCAAAAACATACAAATAAGGGATAAAACACAATTTAATTTCTATCAGGCAGACAAGGCCTTTACCTGAACCCTAGGAACAAAAGGCGTTGTTCTTCTACTAAGGCTTTGGCTCTGGTAAGCAAAATTAAAGAAAAAAGCAATAAAACAAAACCAAAAAGGACAACACGCTGGAACTAAAAGACCAAAAGTAAAAATAAAGACATAGAACTATCCCTTAAATACAATATTTTCATGACAACTTACTTTTTTTAAATTAAATAATTCTAATAAGTAAATTAATATTGATAAATGTTAAGATACATTAAAACTATACAAACTATTATATTTATTTAATCAGGATTTTAAAATGTAGTCAACATAACGGGAATTAAGATAAAATAACATGTTTGGGCCTGTATATTCTGAAAGAATGATTGTAAATATAACCCAGGAATCAAAAAATTCAGATTTTACTCTTACTCTTACATACTACAGGCCTTGGTATCCATAGAGGTTTGTTCCAGGACACAGCAAATAACAAAACCCATTGATCCTCAAGTTTCTTATGAAAAATGTCATACACACACCCTCCCTTATGCTTTAAATCATCTCTGAATTGCCTATAATACCTGAAACAATGTAACTACTATATAAATAGTTATTATACTGTATTTTGGGGAAAATAATGATATGACAAAAGCCTGAACATGTGTAGTACAGGTTTTTTTTAATACTTTTCATTCACAGTTTAACCTGTGGATACAAAATACATGGATATGGAGGGTCAACTGTACCTAGGAAAAAAGTGTAGTCCAAAAAGAAGTTAGATTAAAAAAAGTATTATAGAATTATTATTGAAAAAGTCATCTGTGGAAGTAATTGTGGAACTTTTCCAAAATGATGTAAATTTAACCATACAAAAAAATTTAGCCAACTTGGTTTTAGAATTTCTTTAACAAACAACAAATAAAAAAGCACATTAAGATAAAAGTGTGCTGGGATGCACATAATTGATGATTCACATTTTAAGAATCTATACCAGTTTCTAGTACTAAACACTATCTTCAGACATTTAGTGTTTATAATTGGAGACATTATTATTTATTACTAATCATGCTGATTAATGACAATATCTCATCACTACTGTCTATACAGGTCTTAATATTTTTTCAAGCCTTTAATGACAACTTTTTGCAAGTTTATTGGCTCCCATTACCAACAACGCTAGTTGTTATTATCCCCAATTTTGCAGATGAGGAAACAAAGACATAAAAAAAGATATAGATATACTTGCCTGTACTCAAAACACAAGATAATGTAAAGACAGGAAGTGGAGTCCCGTTCTGATTAAAAACATTCTATTTCAAATTCTTAGAATAAAATTTCTTTTCTTTACTGACTTTTTTTTTTTTTTTTTGCTTTCATTTTGAAACCATTCCCAAAAGATACCACAATAATCAGAATCCAGGCATGTCAATGCCAGGCATGTCAATGGTCAAATCAAGACCAAAACTAGATGTGTATCTTTGGATTTGAAAATGGATTTTAAGACATTTAATTCTGCTTTTCTCACCAGGATTCCATCCCATTCCTCATATTTCTTACAGATGTCTCTCTTGTCTCCTTCTTTCAAGTTATAAATAGTTAAAAGCTTCTTTCTATCTTTTCCACTGCTACACGGAAACAGTGAGGAATAGGTGGACTATTGCCCAATTCAACTATCATTGGACAGATGCTATTTAAGATATAAACCTAAAACCCAAAGAAAAGCAGACATTTAATTATGAGTCATATCTCCCCCCTCCCTCCAAAGACCAAAGTCTCAAATCCAAGCTATCTTCCTTTTCATATGGCCATATGGCCATAGGAAGAATTACTCAGATGCGGAGTGTGTTTATGATATCTGTCTGCATATCCTGGGCAGATAATTCTTTAGCAAATGGAAGAAGGGGTATATGAAATTCACAGAGATTAACTAGACATGCTGAACAAATGGACTACCAAGGTACTCAAGAAATGCATTTTATTTTCCTTGGCTTTCCACCTATTTTGCTCTAACCAAATATATCAAGATAATGAAATATTTTGGAAGAAAATATTACTTCAAAAAACCAAAATTTTACTTTAAAAGGAATAGTATTTGAAATAAATTAATCCTTTAAACATTTTTCTACTTCTAAAATGATTTCAGTCTGACAATTCACAGATTTCTGAAGTTAGCCTTTTTAAAATGAATCTTCACCCAGGCATCCATACATTAAAGTGACTGTAAAAATACATTTAGAATTTGGTGGGTTTTAATTCAAGTGAAATTCATAAAATATACAATGAACCATTTTAAAATATACAATTCAGTGGCAATCATTGAGTTTCTGATGCTATGGAATAATCACCATTCCCTAGTTTCAAACCTTTTTCATCACTCACCAGAAAAATGCTCTGTATTTTAATCACTCCTCATTCCCCTGTCTCACCATCCCGCCACTGAGCACTTTCTATCTCTATGGAGTCTAGGTATCTCAGATAGGAATAATGAAGTACTTGTGCTGCTTTGTAATTGATAATTATTATTAATTCATTTATTTCAAGCATGAAAGATGTAATGTTTATTACAATTCTGGCTCCATATAAATGAAAGATTTTAATTTGTACACCATGATCTATTTTGCATTTTTTGTCACTTCTGTACCCCTATCTTGTCTTTCATGCAATACTTCCAGAATAACAGTTATGACAATGAATTATAAAAGATTAAAATTCAGAGGAAAAACTTTATAGAACATTTTTTTAAAGGCTCCAAGTTTCCAAGAGGATATAAAAGGCACACAACTACTCTGAAGTTACTTATTACCACTAAATGATAATATAAAATGGATATTTACAATATTTACTAAAAATAAAGTCACAAAAATATTAAAGTAACTTGTGGAAACTCTGCAACCATAAATCAATCATAGAATCCATATTAAAAATTTTTAAATTGTCAATAGAATCAATTTCTGAGTTCCTATAGAAAGGATTCTGAATCTTTTCTCACTTTAAAAAAAAACAAAAGTTTTATTTTACCTTAAAATTAGACAAAGACTATAGATTAATTTTAAAATATTAAGATTTATAATGATAATCTTCTGAAGGCATAAACTGCTAAATTCTAAAACACATATTTTTTTAAAAAGAATGACAACAAAAGAGTGCTGTCACGGAAAAGGCTAACATATAGTCCAAGTGACATAAACCTGAACTCAAGCTGATTTTTTCACAAAATACATTAATGACACTTTCACACTTATACCCTAAAATACTGGCAGTCACATGATAAGTCTGTAGAGAAAATAAGTTGTATACAATTTTTTTTAAAAAAAATGGACTGGAGCATAAACATGTAAACAAGAAATTTTATATGTATATTTTCTATTTGAGAAAATATCAGTCCATGAACTAACAAATATATTAGAAAGGTCAGCCCACATACTATACAAATTATCTTTTTTTCTCAAGCATTAGCAATTCATGATTTTGTAAGTTTGGTATAGGGCCAAGTAAAATCCCACTGAAAGAAAAAAAAATCCAAAGATAAAATGTAAGAAAACAGAAATGTAATGTTGCCTTGAGACTTTCAAGAACTTGCCCTAGGAATAATATTAGTAGTACTAATAGTAGTATTTCTGACCCTGGGTGTTTTTTAAATAGATGACTGGACATTGATTTGTTTAAAAAAATTGTAGAAAAATTTGGAATAGACTTCAATAATCTTAAATTTTTACATTATACTTCATATTATTGTTATTTTACTTCAGGAAAGTTATTCTCACAAAATAAATTGGCCCCAGCAAAATTATGCAAGATTTAGATTCAAGGATTTCCATGGCATCAATATTTATGATAATGAAAATTTGAAATCAGCAATATAAAACAAATCATATGATATTACATGATATATGAATTAAACTTAAAATGAAGTACTAAATATCTACAATATAATTTTATCAGAAATTTTTTAAAGAATATATTTTTTTGTTTAACATTTTTTTTGTTTTTTGTTTTTTTTGTTTTGTTTTTTGTTGTTGTTGTTTATGTGGTGCTGAGGATCAAACCCAGGGCCTCGCACACAGTGCTCTACCGCTGAGCCACAACTCCAACCCAATTTTATCAGAAATTTTTAAGCTGAGAAAAAGTTTATAATATGCTATTACATAAAAAAGGTGTACAACAGGATGTACAAATTTATTATTTTTATTTAAAGATTTATATATTGTGACTGGTTAAATGATGGTATCAGAATTATAGGTGATTTTTATTTTTTATTTAATTTTTTATATTTTCTACCTATCTATAATAAATAGGTATTATGTTTATAATTAATATCTTTTATATACAGGGATGTGGTGTGTGTATGTGTAATTTCAAAACATATGCAATTGAAGTTTCACAAATATCATGCTAGAGCATATTCCTTCCAATTCGTAAGAAAATGAGAAAATGGGATACACATTAAATTTTAATTATGTGGATTTAAACCAACATCATTTGTAAATCTAAAATTCTTTATATCATTGTACATACATTTAGAGATGAAACTTTTGGTTTTATATTGTTCCAAATATTTAGCAGCCTCGCCTTCATACCATATTAATTTTGAACCATAAGGACAATTAGCTACCTTTGAAACTGTCTGAATCTCTGCCCTATGCTCCTAACCTTACCCTCCTACTCCAATTTGTATACGAACATAGGAGAAAACATATTCTTATTATGAAAATTCAATTTTTGCTCCTCCCTCAACCAACTCAAGCTAATTACACACATAGACACATAAACACACACACACACACAAACACACACATACACACAAACACACACATACACACACAGATTTACTTATGGACTAGAATCATCTAACATAACCCACCCAAATATTATTTAAAGATGACCTATTTAAACGGAGTCATAATAAAATACAATACCTAACCCACTAATGTTTTCTAAGATGGTAGAAAAAACACATAAATTTGTTGTAACTATACATGTTAATACATGTAAGACAATAAGTAGAAACTTATTCTAGAGAATGGAAAAAAGACCATGGTGCTCAAATGAAAAAGTTAAGTCTACTTATAAAAGAGAAAAGAAAATAATAAAGGGAAGAAGCTTATTTTAGTGAGACACACAAAATCTCCTAACAGTATTCCTTATTCTTTCTTGCATAATTTTTCTGTTATTATCAGCTTTGTGATCAAAATAGTTCCAGAAGAGACATGTCTAATAACTTCTTCAATAATTTTAAGATCATAATTTTTATTTTTATTATCTTCCCACATTTCCTTTTAATTAAATGAAAATGCTTCAGAAAAATCAAAGACTATACCATCCCCCACTTAAAAAAAAAATGTTTTAGCTGATTTAACAAAAAGCTATTTCTGTTGCACTATATATACCAGCCCAAGATACTTTAGTTTAAACTATAATATTTTCAACCAAAATTCAATGTCTCGACTAGGGGAATCTAAATACTTTTCTAATATTCATGAAACTTCAAGTTAACTAAACATCAACATTAAGGACAATAAAACTGAATAAATATACTAAAATGTTCTAACAACTGAAAAATAATAAAAAGTGAGGACTTAAATTTGCAAAACTCTTCTAATATGGATATAGCATAAAATGTGTTATTGAACTTTTATCTTTTGATCAGAAAATGAACAAAGGAAAGATCACATAATGTGAAATTACCTAGCATATTCAAGAAATTTACTATATGTCTCCCCAATATTTGGTTTTCTTTGTTGACAAAGAAAATCTCCAGTATCCTTGTATTTCAGAGCAATATTTAAAAATCCAATCATTATTATGATATTCGAGCCAAATTTCATCTTTGTGGAGGAGAATTCCAGGGATTGATATCAGGGGCACTCAAGCTCTGAGCCATATCCTCAGCATTTTTCTGTATTTTATTAGAGTCAGGATTTCACTGAGTTGCTTAGCACCTCACTTTTGCTGAGGCTGGCTTTAAACTTGGGATCCTTGTGCCTCAGCCTCTCAAACCACTGGGATTATAGGCATGTGCCACCGTACCCAGAAAGCCCCAAATTTCCTTAAGATTGAAAGTAGGGAAGAATATATATATATGAAGCTACTTTTATCTTAAGTAGTACCTTTGTACAGCACAACATTTATTTCTCTTAAAAATTTTGACAATTTATAGTCATTTTAAAATATAGAGCAAAAATCATAACCTGAGTTTTAGAATAATTATTAAGAAAAAAAATAGGTAGTGTCTTCACAAAATCTGTCAATAATTACACAAAACATAATTTTAATAGAGAAGGCACTATGAAGATTATTCAAAATTGAATTTCAATTAGTTAAAATTAATAACAATGAGAACAATGGTGGTTAAATTACAATTATGCTCTAGGAAAAACTTGGCTTACAAAAACCTAACATATCATATTTTAAAAACAATATAATATTCCACAAAGAAAAATTAATTTATTGACTACATACTGAAAGTTGTCCAGATAAGAACTGTGGAACATCCCTCAACATGCCAGGGCTCATGGGAGAGGTAACGGAAATAGAAGGCCGATCCATTTTTTGAGATTCAAATGAGCTAGAACCTGAAATGATACATAAGGAATAATAAAAATGGCTCCTCTTACTTTTTAAGAATCTTTAGGATATATTGTTGAAATGTCATTTTATGTTACAAGTAAACTTACAGGTTTTGCTTTTGCATATAAAAATATACTTATTCTGTTATGTGCACTATACTCATATCTTACAATAAGATAATAAAATGTTCATAATAGAAATGGAAAAATAATCAAAACATCAATCAATAAAGCAACTTATAGAGAGTCTAAACTTTAAATGCTAAGAAAATAAGTACCAGACTATCCCAGAATTATTAAGTGTTTCCAGTAGGTGATATTTAAACTATCTCTTGAAGAATCTAATAAATTACACTGACAGAAAGGAAAAGCCAAAGTCTCCACAGTGACTTACAAAACATGCATTTCTGCTGCCCTTTTCTCCAATTCTGGTATCCTCTTTCTACCATTCTCCCCCTTGCTTATTCCAATTAGTCACAATGGCCTTGTTAAGTTTCCTTAAATGCACCTTAGGCTTTCCTGCCATACAGCTAATGCTATGTCTGGTTTCTGTACCTGAAAAAAATTTCCCTCAGGTAACCACTCTTTCAAATTTTTGCTTTAATCTTTTTCCTCAATTTGGTCTATCTGATTGATGTATCTCAAATTGCAACTGTCCTCCTCTCTCCCAGTATGCCATAATCAATCAAGAACCTTAGTTCCTCGGGAAAAAATTCATATGTTTAACATTAACACACTCGTAAATAAGAAATAAAAAGTACACATTTGAAATTATTTAAATTTGTATATTTATTGTCCCAATACTGCTTTATTGCTGAAACAGAAAAATTATTCTGTTTTCCACAAATGTAGATTAGAATCAATGTAATTATTCACTTATTCACTAGTTTTTCCCAAACATTCTTCTTCTATTTACTGAGGGTGAGCCTACAAAGAGTAATTTTAAAATTGAGGAAAATGTTGGGGATGAAACAGTTGGGAGCAATTGGTATATTTATGATTTTTTTAATTGGGAAAATGGATTCATAGATACATTGTATGCCAAAAGTTCCTAATTGTACACCTTCATTCAATCAGTTTATTATGATACAACTTAATAAAGCTATCTAAAATCCACATTATTAAAACTAATCTTATTATAAAATTTTATACTTTTCCTCACAGTGATATGAATGATACTAAATTTTCTATCTTCATATGATTGTATACTTGATAACAATACCATTATATTTTTTACTTTGTATTAATAGACAAAATACTTTATCTGACCTTGATAAGTGACATTATTAATAACATTTCTTCTAGTAAAAATAAAACTTACTGGACTCCAGTTGTGCATGTGTGCTATCAGGTATTCTAGGTATATCTCTGAAATGATAGAAAAAGAAAACAACTGTTTCAATAATTAATGTTATGGCTATATTAATCAGTATCTACTTATATAATAATTGGACACTGTAAAACAAAAACCTGTGTGTTGAGTTATTATATGAATAAGAAATAAAAAAGTCTTTTTTGCTAATAAATGGTTTGGACTAATGCCAAATGTTTAAAAGAAATCAAAATGCATATGCCTATAAAGGTGCCCACATGGCGGGTGCAGAAGTTAAGTCCTGCAGACGCCAGCCGCCTTTGCAACCCGCGGGAACCCTGAGCGGCTTAGCCCGCCCCGCCCAAACTGGCGGGTGCAGAAGTTAAGTCCTGCAGACGCCAACCACCTTTGCAACCCGCGGGATCCCTGGGCAGCTTGGCCCGCCCCGCCCGAACCGGCGGCGGGTGCAGAAGTTAAGTCCTGCGGACGCCAACCGCCTTTGCAACCAGCGGGATCCCTGAGCGGCTTGGCCCGCCCCGCCCGAACCGGCAGCGGGTGCTGAAGTTAAGTCCTGCAGACGCCAGCCACCTTTGCAACCCGGGGGATCCCGGAGTGGCTTGGCCCGCCCCGCCTGAACCGGCAGTCCTCCGCCATCCGGGCTCCCCCGGGAGGCCCAGCTCTCGCCCTGGGAGAAGCGGCCCCACCCGCCCGGGTCCCAACCACGCGACCGCAGC